CTCTCTCTCTCTCTCTCTCTCTCTCTCTCTCTCTCTCTCTCTCTCTCCTCCTTTCTCCTTTCTTCTCCTCTCTCAGACTTCTGCCACACAGGAACAGGATGAAGTACTGGTCAGCTCGATTTGCACAGACCCGGCATAGCCCTTGAACAACCCACCGACTTCCTGTGTCTCTCAGACAAGTGGCTCAATCTTTCAAATCTTTCAAATCTTCCTTTTTCAAGCTGAAAACTGAAACCTTACTGAAACAGTGAAGGAGGGTGACTTATTTAAAGCAGCAAGCTCATAGTAGGTGTGTGGTCACAAGCAGCTGTCTGGGCAAAGGGCCTCCCTTCTTTCCTTGTGTAGTTTCCTAAATAATCACTTTTCCCACGCCTCGCAAGGGAAGACATGGACTATCGGCACCAAATCAGATGATATTACCCACAAATAGAAAGAACCTTTTCTTTCCTCCAAAGAGGCCTCTTGCCAAACACATCCTGTGTGCATCTCTGAAGACACTTACACCTATGGTTCGTTGTTTGGGAATTATTGCCGGATGTTTCCCTGACTGGTATGCTGCTGTTGTTCTTTAAGAGTGTGGTGGACTCTGTCAGACTGAAGGAATCTGTGGCTGTTGGTCCCTCGGAGTCTTGAAAGTGGATGAGCCTGAGGCCCTGCTTTGCATGTCACACTTAGCGCCTTCTACCAAAGGCTGTGGGTTCCCAGTTGGTGATCACTCGGCTGTGTCTTCCAGGTGCGCAGGAAAAGACCAACCTGGAAGTCATCATTCTTGTGGGCACTGCCGTGATTGCCATGTTCTTCTGGCTGCTTCTTGTCATTGTTCTGCGGACCGTTAAGCGGGTAACAACATAATGTCCCTCCTGCCCCTTGCATGCTGGTTTTGTGATTAATGGGACCTGACTGGGCTTCTTTCAGCTGCTTCTTCCCATTGTTAGTGGCTCAGTGGGCACATTTTTACTTCAGCACAATAACATTCTTGTCCATTTTCTTCGGCTGAACTATGGGCATTAATTGATGGAAGCCACTAGAGGGGTCAAGGGTTTGGACTGTCCACTGTAATTAAGATTTAGAAACTTTATTCTGAACTCATTTTGGAAACTAAAGAGGCACTAAAATCTGGGTTATAATAGGACTTCTCTCGAACTTTGGGAGTTTTATTGGGAAATGAGACACTATCAATGGGTACCCTATTAAACAGCAACAAGTACACAAAACAACAACCAAACAACAGGATTGTGTAACTGGGAGGGTTTATGCTTTCCAGGCCAATGAAGGGGAACTGAAGACGGGCTACTTGTCCATTGTCATGGATCCAGATGAACTGCCCTTGGATGAGCGCTGTGAACGCTTGCCTTATGATGCCAGCAAATGGGAGTTCCCCAGGGACCGGCTGAAACTAGGTGAGCCGTCAACTGCTATTAACTTGATATTTGTTTTACCAGCCCACCTAACTCTCCTTTAAGACAATGACTTGTCTTGACTATTCAGATGATGTTTTCTTATTCGTAAATATTAATCGTATCTCCCGATTTGGGGTAATCACCCAGATAGCCTTTTAGTATTGAGGAACCTGTACAACCATCCAAAGGAAGGCACTTTGGAAGTCAGAATGAGGGAGTAAAGTGGAATGTGGGTCTAAATGGAATACAACATCCCTTTAATCAATCAGAATCTTCACATAGCCCTCAGATCGTGTGATGAGACAACCAAATTTTGTAATTGCCATTATCATTGATTCCAGGGAAGCCTCTTGGCCGTGGTGCCTTTGGCCAAGTGATTGAGGCAGATGCCTTTGGAATTGACAAGACAGCAACCTGCAAAACAGTGGCCGTCAAAATGTTGAAAGGTAAAAAAGCAAAGTGACATTGTGATGTGGTTCTCTTTATTTCGTCCTTCATTAAGCATGGTATGAGGCTTGCATCGCTGGCTCTATGCATAGGTGGGACAGAAAGCCCCTGGCCAAATTAGAGACAGACTCCTCCTTCGGAGCCTCATGCAAGGGCACATGACTGGGGAGCAAGGATTAGCTTACACAGTTCTGTTGCGTGGTCCTGGTTATCTGAGGGGAAACTATCTGGTTCTATTAAAATTGTCCCTCAAAGTATTATGATACAAACTGATTATAAACACTTTAGAAAAGAAGAAAGAAGTTTGCTATTAGTAAAAATAGTATAATGCAAAACCATCATGTTTTTTAGAATTAGAACATTCCAAAGAACTTTCTGAAGGGGCACTGCAAAGTAAGAGCAGCTGTGCAGACAGAAGAGGGTGTGGGTTTTCTTTTAGACACCAGCATCTTTCCATAGTAAAGGACCTGCCGCCTGGACATTCTGATGAGGGGAGGGGAGGGTTGCTTCTGCTCAATTTGTGACTGTTTCCATGGAGGGAGATGTTGCTGCTTGCCTTTGCTAGAAGGGTCTTGTGCCTTTCAAAGGCCCCTTCCTCCATTTGAACTTTTTATCTAGAGGCTTAGGGTGTGTGTGTGTGTGTGTGTGTGTGTGTGTGTGTGTGTGTGTGTGTGTAGAGATGGGTCATCAGGCCCTGAGATGGAACCCATGTCTGTGGATGAGGGAGAAGTGTAGCAGTCCATACAGCACCAAATACAGTCGTGGCCCCATTAGACCCATGTGCAAATGGCTTTGCTGTGTCCTGGTCTTGTTAACTTATTTATTTGGTGCATATCAACTGGAATATCAATATGGACCTGAGCTAATTTAAGCACATTCATTTATGTGTGTGTGGAGATAAGGGAGAAGGTGGAGAGAGAGAGAGAGAGAGAGAGAGAAAGAGAGAGAGAGAGAGAGAGAGAGAGAGAATATGAGTTGTCAGAGGACAAATTGCAAGAGTTAGTTCTTTCCTTCCACCGTGTAGGACCCAGGGTTTGAACTCAGGTCATTAGGGTCAGTGGCAAGGGCCTTTACCCACCCAGCCAACTCACTGGTCTCTAGATGAGAATATTTAATGTGCTTCCCTACGAGGAGGCATTGAAATGACCAGGCCCTAAGCAGCCTACTAAACCTGAAATAGAAAATTCCAGTTTTGTATAGAAAGAGAATCTAGATGTGATTCTGTTGCGGATATGTTCCTAACTTTACAAGAAACCTTGCCTTAGATTTCTCTAAATACCAATCATTCAAGGTTTGCTTAGAGTAAAGCCTTGCTTCCTGATTAGAAAACAGAGTTTGCACTTGACAGTTGCTCTGTTAGTTAGCAGTAACTGTGCTCCGCCGAGAGTGAAAATCGCACAGCTCAGTGTCCATCATCCTTCGGCAATGGCCATACCTATCAGTGTCCGTCTTTGTTCTGAATTTGTAGAAGGAGCAACACACAGCGAGCACCGAGCCCTCATGTCTGAGCTCAAGATCCTCATCCACATTGGCCACCATCTCAATGTGGTCAACCTTCTGGGCGCCTGCACCAAGCCAGGAGGTGAGTAACTGCTGTGGCTCTGCCCCTTGCGTGGGACTAACAGCTCTGGTGGTGTTCGAGGGAGCAGTCCTTTGCAGAGCCCCAAATGTACTAGGCTCCAGAGAGATTCAGTGGACTCTCTAGTCAAAGGATTCTGTAGCATCCTTTGAATTGAAGAATGTTCTCCTCACGGGGAGACATTTGCTACTTGTACAGTAAGTGTTAGATGGGCAAGAAAAACACCCCAGACCTCGAGAGAAAAGAACTTCGAGCCAGCTCCCTTTTCTCCCACTCTGATGTCATCTCAGCTGATTGCTGCTGTTTCGATTATGTCTGTAGAATCAGCGTGAAAAAGAAAAGTTACAATAGGAGGGATTGGGGTCAGCTGATTCCTGCCACTCTGTTCCCAGGAAAGGCTATCTGAGACTTCTTCCAGGGCAGTTTTGAGCTTATCAGCATGCTAAGTTCTTAGCAAGACGTGTTCGTGAAGTGCATTTTCCTGTCGTAACTGGCTGTATCATTTGCAGGGCCTCTCATGGTGATTGTGGAATTCTGCAAGTTTGGAAACCTATCGACTTACTTACGGGGCAAGAGAAATGAATTTGTTCCCTATAAGGTATGTCGCCGTCTACCTGAGCATGATCACACATGTATGTTGCCGCCTACCTGAGCATGATCATACGTGAAAGCCGAGCAAACCTCAAAGTGGCTTTGCATGTGTCTTTTCGTTGAAATTCTTTGCATGTTACCCCGGTAATCTTAACATCCACTTAAGGGGGTTGTGTGCTTCTCATATTTTATTTTTAGGACTTTAATCTCCTGAGCCATTATGATGGTGCTAGATTTGATTAAAGAAAGGGTAGGGCAGAGGGAGCATTGGCTCTGGATGATAATCTGTCACCTGAGCCATTTTTGGCTCCATGGAGGGTGCGTCCCCCTGTCAAGGGGACACTAATGACAATGTGTCTGAGTATGTTTGGAAATGCAGCACTTACCCCTTGACACGGAAGAGAAGGGGCGTGGCGTTAGAGAAGGAATGCTGTTAAAACTTGCCCCGCGTTTCAGCTCTGTGGGATCCTAGACTTGACTCTCCTGTTTGCTTTTAATAGTCTCAACTGTGTGTGAACTCGCCATGCATGAGAGACCCATCTTGTATTCGAGGAATTTGCACAGTCTCTTCTTTTCCAGAGTAAAGGTGCGCGGTTCCGCCAGGGGAAGGACTACGTCGGGGAGCTCTCTGTGGATCTGAAGCGTCGCTTGGACAGCATCACCAGCAGCCAGAGCTCTGCCAGCTCGGGATTTGTCGAGGAGAAATCCCTCAGTGATGTGGAGGAAGAAGAAGGTACCTGCCCTTGCAGCCTGTGCCTAAAGCACACTCTTGTAGAAAGGGTTGGTGACATGATATTCCAGCCACAGGGGAAAGCTAAATCTAAATTCCTAGGTAGTGTCCAGTCAAGCTTAACTAAAGTATGGAAGCCCTAGACAGACAATGAACTCTACTGGGAGTGAAAGCAGGGTTATCCTGAGAAGTCTAGGTAACTCAGTGGGCTAAACTGTCACTAACAATCAAATCAACACTCTGATCCAATACTGGATGAGAAATGATTGGCAGTAGAGGTTCAGTGCCATGTTTGGAAAGGGGAAGGGAGTTTTCTGGTGTCTGGCTAGCCTTCGTTACCATAAGTGGCTCAGATCCAATAGGTAGCATGCTCAGCAAGCACACAGAGGCCCTTTTGGTCATCTCTTCCCAACCTTCTCCAAGATGGGTGAGGACACGGCCATCATTTTCACATCACCCAGCTGGCTTCTCAATCTCCTGTCACATGCCTTAGTCTTGCCTCACTTGGTTGTGATCCCAGTGATGCTTTAGTGGTATGTATGGGTGGAGCTGGACCTCAGCCTCTCTGCAGTCAGCTCCGGGACACACTGTATGTCTGCCTTTATCAGAAGGAGCAGGCACCACTGTGTGATGAAAGAGACAAGGATGCCCAATGCCTGGTGCTCTTGGGGTGTGAGTGTAGACAAGCCCACCCCCACTTCTGTTTCCTCTGCCACAGGTCGACTGATAGAACCTGATCCAATTTCTTTCTCTTGGAAACCATATAGGCATCTGGTGGTTAGGACTTGGGCTAGAGGGCATGGGGAAGTTGCTAGGCCTGTCCTCATGAGGTCTACAAGTAAGTGGGTCAGGCACCCTCTTGCTCATAGTTGGTAGCCAGTAAGCTGGAAATGCAAGGAGCTAGGGGTGGAGGGCTGAGGTGTAAATGGCTTGGAATTGCAGGCCAGGACTTCGCCTCTATTTCTTTATCTGGAGAATGAAGAGAGTTTCACTGTTCCTAGCCATTAGCATAAGAAGTCATGGAGAAAGAAGTCTCAGCTTTCTTAATACTAACAAGTCTGTTATGGTAATTGAGTTTGTGTTTACTCTGGTCTTGTGTCCAGGAAAGAGACGGTAGCCATATCTTATCTGATAAGTTTGGAGAGCATTTCAAAACATCCAGGAGCACCTCAGTGTTTCTGTGTATCGGTTGCTCTGTAATAAACGCTACCAGCTTATGTAGATTCATCTTTCTTCCACGCCTGTGGTCACTCACTCCTCTCCGTGGAGGAAAGTCTCCTTTCCAGGCCAGACTTAACCCGCTCGCTGCACGTCTTCAGCTTGACAGTGAGAGAAATAAATCTTTCTGTTATTTTTGGTTATCTGTTGTGGACCGCAGTTTGAACTTTGGTCTTTGTCCCAGGAGACAAAAGCCCGGAGAGAAAAGATTTGATGACCCTCAATATTGTTGTTTTATTTTTAGAGTTTCTTCATAGGACCTATTGTTTTCCCCTCTGAATTCATGGGAAAACAACGACAGCTTGAGACAGCAGACTTTAAAAGGTCCTTTTTCTCTTCTTATTGTCTGCACCGATTTCTTCTCTCTTCTCCCTTCTGGGTTTAGTGACTCAGTTTGACAAAAATGGAGAAAGCAGTCTTTTCCCCCAAGGAGGATGATGAAGGCTGATAATTTGGGGTTTCGCAAATGGGCAGGTCCTCTGCTTCTGTCTCCTGAAACTGACTCTCGCGTCTTGAAGAGATCACAGGGCTCCTGGCTGATGGGAGCACTCAGCTGTGTCCTCTTGTCTCTTCTCCAGCTTCTGAAGACTTGTACAAGGACTTCCTGACCTTGGAGCATCTCATCTGCTACAGCTTCCAAGTGGCTAAGGGCATGGAGTTCCTGGCATCAAGGAAGGTATGACAGGTCAAGGGGACAGCAAGCTTTGTGTTCAGATCCCAGGCTTGGAAATGAGACAGCGCTTGCTCGGGTTGGAAAAGTCGTCACTTTAAGGATTCTTAAATGTCTTCCTCTGGGGAGGCTTGTTTTGTGTGTGTGTGTGTGTGTGTGTGTGTGTGTGTGTGTGTGTGTGTGTGTGAATAAAAGGTGGCTAGAACTTTCATGAAATTAATTCATATCATTAATACTCATTGACCAATTGCTAAGTGCCAGCTTTTGTTTTTAATCTTTTTTTTTGGGTGGGGGGGGTTCTAAGAAAGGGTTTCTCTGTGTAGCATTGGCTGTCCTGGAACTTCCTCTGGTAACCAGGCTGGCTGGAACTCCCAGAGATCTGCCTGCTTCTGCCTGAGATTAGAGGTGTGCTCCAACACCTCCTGGCTATCTAGATCGACTTCTAAGTGCCACTGTAGTGAATCAACCAAGACAGCTCTGCAACTTCCTGGGGTTTCCAACACTTGTAGATGATGAAACAGCCAATAACCAAGCAGCCCATGAGGAAGGTTGGGAACAGATGTTGTGGGATGAAGTAAGGCGGGAAGAGACAGAGTATATGAAAATGCTGTGTGTGCACGTGCACATGCTAACGCACATGTACTTCAATGTTATGCAAGCTAAATGAGGAACTCTTTACAAAGGATGTGATCTGTGCGCTTAGAAGATGTGGGGAGTAGACTTCTGTAGATATCTTGGAGTAGTGGGGTCTATTTTTAATTTATTTTACATTCACCACCATCCATCAAAAAGTTATTTGTTATTTGTATAATTAGAAACCAGGAAGGCCAGGCTTCAGATGAGGACGATTAAAACAGCTAAAATTAGAAAGTAGGCCAAACAAAGGCAGAGGTGGGACGTGACAAGTGACAAATATTCCAAAGGTTGTAAACAGCACTGTGGTGGGCGGGAGGCTGGGGGAAGTCACCGGTGACCTTGGGAAGGGGGACACGCGCGTAGTCTCACATTGGTAAGAAAGGTTCACATTATTCAGGAAAAGCTCTCTGTGGGTGAAGTGTATTTGCTGCAGGTTCCCGAGGGAACAAAAGGCCTTAATAATTCGTTTGTTTTCTTTATCGTTGTAAGGTCCCTTGCCCCTCTCCCCACTGAAGTTTAAAGTCTTGGGATCTTAGGTAGTTCTGCTGAGTATTTCTTGTATTCTCTTTCCCAATGAGAAGGGAGCAAACCAGGGTCCTTCAGTATCGTCCCAAAGGAAAGGACTTTGAGTCTTTTTCAAGGGTTATTATTTTTGTAAAGGCCAGAACTCATTCTTGAGCCAAGTAATTTCTTTTGTCAACTAGAAGAAAGAATTGATAGAGTGATTGGTGAGTGGGGGAGTCAGAATCCTTTCTTTTCTCTTGTAACCACGAGGTAATTTGTTGGTTTGTTTGTATGTTATGTATGTATGGTTATCCAGCTGGGCAAGGAAGCTCTTTGGTTGAGAGCAAGTAGGGATGCTGTCTGTTACGTGGACTTTCCAGTTTTACTATCCCACTCTAGACAATGCACTCCTGAGTATTCTGGTGCAAGGGAGACTGCCCTTATTGACCTGGGGTGCTGGGCAGGGGAGAGGCAGTGATTCCCAGCCCCCACGGTCACTCCTGTGTTGATTGGGTCTTTCACGTAAGCCTTTCATTCACGTCAAAAGTTCTTTGAGGTTCTTCTTCCCTCTCAGGTGCTTAGGTGCTTGCTGAGGGCTGTGAGCATAGAGTGACAGGGCCGCTGAAGAGCTGAAAGTCAGATCAAGTTGACAGAAAGGAGAGACCAGTGTAGGAACTGAAAATCCCGAGGCTTAAAGCTGAGCTCTGGGAAACTTTCTCCAGAGTCCAGTCCACTCGCACTGGCCAACCCTGCCGGGGTTGACCTTTTCTATCATATCAAACACTTTGAAGCAGGATGAGTACCTGTGTGCTGCCTCTGGATCCAGTCCAGCTTCAGTACCAAATGAAAGAGAGAGCCAACCAAGCACACCCAACCAATGAGAACCCTCGCCTCTCCTTTCTACACAGCCATTCAAAGCAAATCTATTCTGGGATCTCCTTAGAATAACCCAGTTCAAGGCACAGAGGCTGCCAAGCAAAAGGATGTGTGGATGTGATCCAAGACACATTTTTAAACCGTGTCCACCATCAGACTGTAACCTAATCATCTAACTCCAAAGGACAGGACTGTTTATGGAGTAAGCAGATGTGTCTCGATGAAACACACAGGCCCCTTTCCTGACCGGTTGCTCTAAAACTCTACCCCACTTCTTGCTAATCAGATGGTTCTCCGATGTTGGATTTTTTAAAGCATGAGGTCACAACAGATGTAAAAGCAATTAGCTGTGTGGAGACTTATCACAATACTGTTTCTTTCACAGTGCATCCACCGGGACCTGGCAGCGCGGAACATTCTCCTCTCAGAGAAGAATGTGGTGAAAATCTGTGACTTTGGCCTGGCCCGGGATATTTATAAAGACCCGGATTATGTCAGGAAAGGAGATGTAAGTATCTAAAGACGAACCTGGTGTTCCATTCGAACTCACAATTCAAACTTTGTGGATCTGTGTTGGGAAGTGAAGGAAGTGTTTTCCTCAGAAATCTGCTAACTTGGGTTCTGATGCTTTGCTGTCACCCACTTAGGCCCGACTCCCTTTGAAGTGGATGGCCCCAGAAACGATTTTTGACAGAGTATACACAATTCAGAGCGATGTGTGGTCTTTCGGCGTTTTGCTCTGGGAAATATTTTCTTTAGGTGAGTCGCTTCTCTTTGACCCTCTTCTGGGTTGGGGAGTTCAGGAGCAGAGAAGGTGATAATAGTGGACAAACCCAATAAGGCCTTGCCTCCTCTGCATTTTACCTTCTGTCAAATAGAATTTCTTAGAAGATTTAGATAGTAAAATCAAGAAGAAAACAAACAAACAAACAAACAAAAAAGTTCCGTAGGCCATAAGAATGTGCTAGAATCAGGCTTAAGGACTTTTTACGGTGAATGCGAAGCTCACAGTGCTCCTTTCCTGTCTTATGCTAGGTGCTTCCCCGTATCCTGGGGTCAAGATTGACGAAGACTTCTGTAGGAGACTGAAAGAAGGAACTAGAATGCGGGCTCCTGACTACACCACCCCAGAAATGTAAGACTCTGGAAAGCCCCCCTCTTTCTTTTCACACCAATTCTTCCCACTAAGAAGGCAAGAAAGCCTTCCATTGTGAGCATCTACGTCATGGCCTAGTTTGTGTGCGGCCCTTTCTCTGATGCCTTTCTTGGTTACCTCAAGCAGTGGCATCACGTTATTGTATTATCTATACCAGAGAACTTTTATTAAAGGTTGATAGAGATGTGTGTTAAAGAAGACCCTTTTATAGACAGCTGGACATATGAGTACTGACATCTGTGTCTCCAATAGTTTCATATCCCTAGTTAGTATCTCAGCTCCTGATAGCTCTTTACAAACGCTTTCCATTTGAGTATTATTTTGACTGCTAGCTCTTGGAAGAATGGCACGCTTTAATGAAACCAGTGTCTTGCTCGTCTAGGTACCAGACCATGTTGGACTGCTGGCATGAGGACCCCAATCAGAGACCCTCGTTCTCAGAGTTGGTGGAACATTTGGGAAATCTCCTGCAAGCGAATGCTCAACAGGTTTGTAACCCTCTGCTCTAGAAGTTTCTACAAAGAACCTTCAGGTTGAGGGTCTGTGATCTAACAGTCTACTGCCTGAACATTCACGAGGCACCGTGTGATTCTCTGGGTCACTTAAAAAGGATCCTCTGCCTTCCAGTTTTGAGCAGTAATGCTTGCTGAAAGTAATAATTGCTCTTTAGACTGATAGGACCCTAATTCATAGCTTGAGAATAGGCAACTCTAGGCTATTCATAAGTTGCGGGAACTTATGAATATCCTTCCTCTATCATGTGGGCCTAGGAGCTCGAACTCAAGTCATAAGGCTTGGCTGAAGATGCCATTACTCTTTGAGTCATCTTGTTGGTCCACACCTGCTTGTTTTTGTGTTATGTCTTCAAATGTTCTTCTAAAGGTTAAAAAAAAAATCTGCTGAGGGTGATAGTGCATGTCTGTAATCCCAGAATTCTTAAGGCTGGAACAAGAGAATCATAAGTTTGAGGCCTGCTTGGGCAGCATAGCAAGACTCCCTCAAAAAACAAAACAAAACAAACAAACAAACAAACAAAACCTAAGTCTGATTGACTTACTGATGATCAGAATGGAAGGAATTTCAAGCCATTTTTAGTAAATTCTGCAGGCAAGGCCAAAACAAAACAAATATGCAAATTCTGCAAAGCCACGACTCTGGCCCTTCTTGGTGAAATGTCAGGCTGTCACGACAGTTCCACAATGGGATTGCACCCCCTTTTTTGTTGTTGCTAGAGAGTTTGCTGCTGCTTGGTGCCCCCTATTCCAGTGGGAGCCAGTTGCTTCCTTTTTCCTTCTGAATACTGAGGGTCACATCTGTTTTTACCAAAGAAACCTTCCAAACATTTCAGTGTATCGGATCACCTTGTCTTTTCTTCCTCTTGAGAAATAACAGCAGACTGCACTATTAGGAATTCCTCTGCTCCTGCTGTCCTAGGCTTTTCTCTTCCCTGCCTTCAGGTTTTCTATTGCCTTGGGATATAGAGGCTGGACTTGAGGCTGTTCACTTTGAAGGTCCGGCTCCTGCAGAAGTCTTTGTGGAGAATTGATTCCTTGGCTCCTTCCTCGCTCATCTCCTCCACAGCCATTGCCGGCTTTGTCTTCATGGCAACCGTGGCCTCCCGTCCCTTCACTAATCCGGTTTTAGTAACCTTCTTCCACACACCCCTTTCAAGTGGCCTTTTGTTTCTGGCAACCCTTTTCCAATACAGTCTTGAAGTCTTCGGTTCAGATATGAAAGCGGCACGCACAGCCAAGACGCCCCCCTGCCCTTTGTTTCTCATGAAAAGGCCCTTGAAGGACAGCAGCCATAACAATAGCATGCTGTGTTTATTGTTTCAGGATGGCAAAGACTACATTGTTCTTCCAATGTCAGAGACACTGAGCATGGAAGAGGACTCTGGACTCTCCCTGCCCACCTCACCTGTTTCCTGTATGGAGGAAGAGGAAGTGTGCGACCCCAAATTCCATTATGACAACACAGCAGGAATCAGGTATATGGTCAGCATCCCCTCAGGGGGGCTTCGAGGCCAGCTCGGGAGGTGAGGGCGGGAGGAAGACATTTGCTTAGGCTGTCGGTCACTTCTTCTAGTTAACTGGAGTTCTGACATTCACGAGGGCCGCGCTCCCCGAAGGAGGTCTGGAGAGTTGAACAGCCTCCCATCTGTGGCCCATATTGCTGGCACAACTCTGCCGTTAAGAATTCTAAGCCTTGTGGGAGCAAATAGCTAAAATACCACAGTTTGTTAATCTCCAGAAAAAAAAAAAAGAGAGAGCCATGGTACGGAGACGTGGAGACATCTGTATTAAAATCGTCCCCGTGTACACTTTTATTAAGGTGAATTAAATGGCTTAGGAAAGACTCAGGAAGGAAGGAGTCTGTGCAAATCTGAAACATACCGAGGGCTCTCTGGTGAGGAGAGGGCACACCACAGGCTGTGTCCTGAAATAGGGCTGCACTCTAGAGAAATCTGTCCTCAGTCTGAGTTTCAGCATTCTATTTACTTACTGGGGTGCCTAAGTTTATTCAAAACAAATGCCAAGCAGTCCAGTCTTGGTCTGTGCAGCGTACTGAGACAGCTTTTGCTGGGCTCAGGTAATACCTGTGCATGAGGAAAATGCTGGTGGGGCATCCCACAATACGACCTTAGCATCGCCTTCCCTAAGCCCAAAACAGCTTGACTTTGCTTTGGGTATTATTGTGCTTCTACGAGCAGACCCCCTGACAACATGGGTGTTGCTTGTCTTCTTGAGTGAGCCCAAGCTGTAGAAGGAATTGGGCAGCAGTCTCCCATGGGAGGCACCGGCCCAGTGGCCATGGTGCAAGGAGGTTAAAGAGGCCTAGGAATGATGTTTGGCCCTGAGGAATCCTGAGTGGGGAAAGGGAGCAGGGGGGAAAGTTAGATATCAACCAACACACTACCATTGCTTTTATAACAAGAGCAGTCAGTATTCCCTGAAGAATTTTTTCCTGTATATTATCAGATTTCTGTCTATGCGAGAACTCTAGATTTAGACCAGATGGCAAGTATTATCTAGGTACAGGTCTTAGCTCTACCCACATGAAGCAGTGCAAAAATATGATTAAAGATGTAGACGTGAGAGCTTGGTAGAACCAGACGCGATGCCTGGGTCTGCCTTTTAGTAGCCCCGAACAAGTCCCATATCGTTTGCCCCTCCCCCAACCCAGTCTCTGTGTGAAGAAAGGCAGGGCCACTGTTTGCGAATGGCCACTTGGAGGATTGCATGCTGTCATGGCTATAACGTATTTCTAAGTGCCTGACACTTGAAGGGACTTCATAAAGGACAGCTGTTAAGAGAGCGGCTTCCCATCCTGCCCCAGAGATGAATCCATCTCCTCTGATTCCAGCCATAGGGCCATTTTCCCACCTTCCAAGGAGAGGTTCTCAGAGAGGAAGAGTCATGAAGAGAAACTTGCATGGATGCAAAGTCCTAGTCCATTTTGGCTTGCCCATTGTTCCTGCCACGCTGTCTTGCTTCTCCTTAGTCCAAGAGCCATCTGATGGCTCACTGTCCTCTTCATGTCCTGTGACAAGAGTTCAGAGCTGGGCCATTTGGCTTGCTGGGTTCCTGGAATGTGGTGCTCAGCAGGAGATGGAGTCCTGTTTGGGAGACAGACGTGCCTGTGTGAGGCCAGGGCTAAAACATTTATCCCCAGGAGTGGGGACAAATGCTACACCATGCTTTTCAGCCCAGCCAGGCTTGGCTCAGATTTTCTGTCTCTGAGTTTTGAAGGAGCCTTCCCAGACTAGATTCTCTTTTAGCTATCCATGAACTGAAAAATCAAAGAGAAATTGGAAGTTTTTTGTTTACATCCCCTCTCAGCTCCGCTATTTTTTCTTTTTACAAACAACAAAGCCCTCCTTCACCTTACGGTGATGTAAATGAAGTCAGTGTGGATTAGAGGTGCGAGCCCACTGCCTTCCATAGCGGTAGAGGTAGTGCAGAGGTCTTGCATGGCTCTGCTTCTCTGGGGGAGTGTACTGAGGCTAAGGCACCTCCCCAGGCATGTTCTATCTCTTCTCCTGCTTCCAGGCAAGCAGAAAAGCTGAGTCTTCCTAGCTTTGCTTCCTCCTTATATGTTTCAACTCCATTGCATTATAAATAGAGCTGGGCACCAGCATCACTGTGGGAGACAGCCTCTTGATCTGTTGCCTCTTTAAACTACTTTTTAAAATACTTGTTCAACAGTTCTGTGGAGAAGAGGCAGAGGGGTGGGGGCGGGGAGGGCCACTGATGTCTAGACTTAGCTTTGTTGCCTTTTTCCCCCATGAATCCTCTGTGGCCCCGAGTGTGTACGCTTCCCCTAAGAAAACCCATATTTGCTGGTCTCGTCTCTCCTAGAGGGCAGCCTGTGGACTGGACCGTCTATGGCTGCTTTGTTCATTTTCCCTGGGAGTTCCACCTCCCATTCCCAGCAGTTTAACAGAGATGTCTTTGCAGTCTTCTTCCCCAGAGGAAGGCTTTGGTACACGCTCTTCTTTTCACTCTGATTAATTGTGAGTGGTAATTAAACATCCAAGGTGGGCTGGTCCCTGAGACCTGCTAGCTGCCTAGCTTTGTCTTGGTTTGGCCATCACTGCTTGAAATGGGATTCTTCTTTCTCCACCTTCCATCTACATAAAACTCCCTACTGACTCAACCCACCCACTCATCACAGGGTCCATGCACACATGGGAGCCAGAGCAAGGCTGTGACCTCAGTAGGTGCTTAATAAAGACCCGAGTAAGATGTCTGTGGCTCTCTTGCTTCTTTTCCATCCTGCTACCCATAGGGTGAGGAGAAACAACCGCACGTGGGCTTTGGAGCCTGCAAACATGAGTGGGAACCCTGGTTCTACCCTTCAACTGCCATTTTCTCACTGAGCCTTGGCTTCTTCATCTCCAATGGGAAATAATGAGAGATCTGTTTGGGAGCGGCAAGGAGCAGATGCAAGGAAACCTTGGAAAATGCTTTGTCGTTTGTGAAGGGCCATACCATTTTGAAATTAGAAGTCAGGGATCTGAGTCTCTGGAGGTGGCTATGTGCTATCCACGCCCCCTTACTCTGCTGGGTTGTGTGGAATGCAGGCACTGCTTTAAACCTCCTGCGCATTCCCCTTCTTTAATCAGATTCCCTGCTTTCCTGCTAGATAAGTGTGAAGTCTCCTAACTGGCTGTGTTACTGCCTCTGGCCTTATCCTTCTCAATCACAGCCAACTCTCTCAAAAGCCTATCTGGTCATGCCAATCCTATGTTCAAAATTTTCAGTGGCCCTCACAACTATAGTCTGAGATTCTAGTTGTGTGATTTTGGACCAGTGGATTTTGGAGAGGTTACCATGAAGACGCCGTGCAGCGATGTCTGAAGAGCATTCAGCTCAATTCCTGACCTGCGGTAGAACCCCAAAGGTCTTCCTGACTGAGCGAATAGCTGTGATCCCAGCCTTCGCTGACAGTCACGACTTTCAAGGAAGGACCAGAGTCAGCAGGAAACGGGCTTTGCTTGTCCCTTGTATTGCATGTCCTCTTTCCTGTGAAGTCTCCTGAGGGAGGGTGTCACTGGGAACCTCATTCTGTCCTCTGTGTGGGGAGGAAACGACCTCTTGGAGAGGAGAAGAGGCACTCAGCTTCTAGTCCTCAACTCTGACCCGACAATGCCCTGCGCCAGCAGTCTGCTTGTCTCCATGGGCACGTCCCATAAAAAGGACTTCTCTTATCTCCCTTTGGGCTGTAAGAGGTTTGGATAGGATTTTTTGGACTCCCCCAGTGGCAAGTGGCAAGGAAGAGCAGCATCCAGGGACAAGTGATGCGTTGTCTGTCAAGTCTTATTCTTTGAAGGTCTTTGGAATCCAAAAGAGGAAAATAAAAGCGAGTTGATAGAGTTCTGTGCGTCCTCAGAACACCAAACTTGATGTTTGCTGTGCTGTTCACCTTCCCGACAACCTTGCAAGCTAGAAAGAATAGCTATCATTACCTATGCCTGTCTAAAACGGAGCAACAGAGCCATGCTCCCATTTCTACAGTCAGAGTTAGACTCAAAATTAAGCAGAGTGTCCTCAGCCTCTGAAGGATGGCTGAGTAAGACCCAGCCCACCTCCCTCTGTGCCCTAGATCTGTATTTCATGGTGAAGGAAGAAGTTGACTTGAGATCACTGCCTAGCACAGTGATCCTTTAGAGAAGTTAAAGGTGTTTCCTCTGCCCAGACTGTCAATATGGTGTAGGACCCCTTTCTTTGGAGATGGCCAGAAAAATAGAAAGCCCAGAGCACTATATCCGGAGCTTACTGGAGGAATCCCATCCAGGCAGGGCCCATCAGAAGGCAGCTGCTGTTGAGTCAGCTTCCATTGACCTGAGTTCAGCCCTGGGCCTCAGAAGCATGAGTCAAAGGCTCAGGGTCTCCCTTACTCTTTTCAGTTGTATTTTACTTTTAAATGGATTTCCACAGGAAATTAAACCTTCTGTGTGTGCTAGCAAAGGAAGACTTTGTTTTTCTTTTTCTTCCCCCCCCCCCAAGGCTGTTTTGAAGGTTGCTATTAAACTTGTGGTTGGAAGATAACGGACGTGGGTATCACTTGAGGCGCCCGCAGCCAAATATACCAACCACTCCAACGCAGACAAATGTTTGTTCTCTTGCAGTCAGTATCTGCAGAACTGCAAGCGAAAGAGCCGGCCAGTGAGTGTGAAAACATTTGAAGATATCCCACTGGAAGAACCAGAAGTAAAAGTAATCCCAGATGTAAGTCCATCTTTTCTAAATAGTTGTAGAAATAAATTCTCAGGGTGAAATGCTAGCTAGATAAATATTAGCTCAAGCGCTTGAGTCTTGGAACCTCATGAAGGTTGTCCTTGAGGGTATGTGCCATGGGGTCGTTGTAGAGATGGATTTTTGGTTTCACCATAGGAAAGGCATCTGGACCAAGGGTCAAGATAGTCCGTGTGCCCGGTTTCATTCAAGGGCCCACAGTGTCACTGTGCAGATAGCAGGAGACCCACCCCAGCATCCTTGGTCGTGTCTCCCTGGCCTAAATCTACTTCCTGGGAGCATTTGCTTCCTTTGTGACTTGCACAGTCTCTGGCTGCCATGCCCTTACCCTCCTTGGCGGGACACTGAATCGTATTGTCTGCTAGGTGGATTGGAAATGGGTTTAAAGGAGCTGGCCCTGTGCGTACTCACTGTCCTCTCATTGTCTCCTAAAAAGGACAGCCAGACAGACAGTGGTATGGTCCTGGCATCAGAAGAGCTGAAAACCCTGGAAGACAGGAATAAATTATCTCCATCTTTTGGGTAAGACTCAGCCAAATAAGAAAGACCTTTTTCAACAGGGATTTTTGAAAGGACCTAATAAATACCTTCAGTGTAGATGAAGTTTCACTTTTTGGTGCCTTTGAAGGTTGATGACATTAATATCCCAAATAAGCAATTTGATAAAGAACTGAAATAAACCCAACAATGAAATTGATAGGTCTGAAAAAAGAATCTGAAGTGAGTTAGAGGGTTTGGTCAATTTCTAATGACCCAACTTTTGAAGGCTCTGGAGTGCCTGAGCATGTGATACAAATCGGCATATCGACTGTGATTGGTAGTGTATGTGGCCCTGGCCAAACAGCAACATCAGCAGATGCCATGATCCTGAAGAGTTAAGAGTTTGCAGTCTGAAGAATTGTCAAACCTGTTCTTAATTAACTTTATCTGTAATTAAGAAAGATGATATGTAAATAAATACAAAGTCACTGAGTTAGTGTATTTAAATATCATTTGAATCCTTCTCAATTGTGGGAAAGTATTAAATTTGATCTCGAGTCATTCGTCCCTCATGGCTCAGCAGCAACATGTAGTTGCTTTGAATAAGTACTCCTGATTTCAATATAAGAATTTATGAAATTCTATAGTTAAAAGAATAATGGGATAATAGTAGTTATTTATTTGCTGGGAGGTTCATTCTAGGTAGGAATACAAAAGATGCGATCCACATATGACGGGACCACTGTGTGAGATGGGAATCCCCAGGTGTTTCTGAGTTATGCTTGGCAACACTAACAACGGCGACAGTCAATTTTGCTGTTTCCTGTAAAGTCCAGCAGGCAACCGTGAGCGCCAATCATATGCTTCTTTCTTTGACTCAAACCATATTTATCCAGAACTATTAAGTGGCCAACATCATGCCATTGTTTGAAACACGAATTGGTTTTGGCCTGGAAAGGGAGGAGAGGATTGAAAGGGGAAAAATGTATTTCTAGCTCTTTGAGAACCTACTTTAAACCATATCTTAACACAGAATAAATAAACTCTTTTCTGTGCGGTTTTTATTATGAATAATGAGGCTACGGCCCCTGAAAGGGCAAACCCTGAGCTTTTCAGTCCACACAGCCTACATTTGCTAGTTTTGACATGATTACTGTGTCATTGAAAACATTCTCCAGTTGCTGCTGAGTGACTGAATCCCCAATTTGTCCAAAGAATGTGGTTTTGATGAGTAAAAAGCAGTTTTTGACATGTCTGGCTTGCCTGCACACACTCTCCCAGGTTTTTTTTTTTTCTCTACAAATTTATTCACATCTTTCATAAGCCACGTAGTCCCTTAAATGACCGAACAGGAAAACCGCAAAGGAACTTTTAGACCATCCCAATTTTCTTCAGTATCATGAAAGAGACCCCTTGGCTCCAACCATTGTATACAAACTTGTCAATCATCAAGGCTGTAAAATGTTCCACTGGTTGGGGCTCTGCATACCTCAGCAGAATTGCCTTTTATCTCATCTCGGGCTTGAAAGACTTGGACCTGAATGAGAGGACTTATCTGCCACTAGGAACTCAGGCTAGTACCTGAGAGTAGACCTTGTCTGAGTGAGCCTGATAGTCTGATTAGGGCAGGGAGATATAGGGGCTGGTGCCTCCACAGGAGATCCCACCGCCTTGGAGCTGGGGACCGGGTGAAGGTGAAGAGCCAAGGGGCCATCTCCTCCTTCTCAACTCATCGGGTTGCCATTTTTTCCACAGTGGGATGATGCCCGGCAAGAGCAGAGAGTCTGTGGCCTCGGAAGGCTCCAACCAGACCAGCGGCTACCAGTCTGGGTACCACTCCGATGACACCGACACCACTGTGTACTCCAGCGAGGAGGCGGAGCTTTTAAAACTGATGGAGGCTGCAGACCACACCGACTCTGGGACCGCGTTGTGCTCACCTCCCGTTTAAAAGGAGGTGCTCTCACCCCGCTCCCTAACTCCCGGGAATCACGTGAGAGGTGCTGCTTAGATTTTCAAGTGCTGTTCTTTCTCCCACCTGGAAGTAGCCGCATTTGATTTTCATTTCAGAGGAAGGACCTCAGACTGCAAGGAGCTAGTCCTCCGGGCATCTCCCAAGAAGATGGCCCATGACCCAAGAATGTGTTGACTGTTCTCTCTTTTCCATTCATTTTAAATTGTGTATAATGTGCCCTGCTGTGAGTCTCACAATCAGCTGAAACAAAAGACATTCAGACAATGACTCTATGCTCCAAGAAGTAGCCATACCAGGGCAATGGACCCCTCTGTAAAATTGGGTGAAATGGGCAATGGTAGGACTTTGTGTGTTGAAGATGGGTGAGACGCCTAAGGACTGAGTCTACCTAAATGGCTTCGTTGAGGATGTGGGCTCTGAGCCAAGTGTTAAGTGTGGGCTGTGGACTGGTAGGAAGGAAGGCGCAAGCTTGCCTGGAGAGCGGCTGGAGCCTGCGGATGCATTGTGCTGGCTCTGGCGGAGGCGGGCATGTGGGCTGTCAGGAAACGCAAAGGCGACCGGCAAGGTTTCTGGTTTTAGAAGGTTGCATGCTCTCTGCAGTTGGGCTACAGGCGAGTTCCCTGTGCTGTTTCCTCCTCCTAATGAGAGTTCCTTCCGGACTCTTACGTGTCTCCTGGCCTGGCCCCAGGAAGGAAATGATGCAGCTTGCTCCTCATCTCCCAGGCTGTGCCTTGATTCGGAACACCGAAAGAGAGGACATTCGGGAGAGGCTCCCTTTCTTGTGGAAGCGCACAACGCGACTCAGGGTTCTGCTGGATGGACACCCACATGTCTGCCCTGGTGGCAGTGTCTGGGGCCACGGACCGAGGGTTCTATGTCAAGTTGTGGTGGTAACGGCTCAGACAGGATGTACCTACTTGTTCTCCCTTCAAACCCACTCCACTCTCACACCCCAGGATTTTAGCTTTGTGGCCTCTTTCTGGCAGAAACGCTGAACTGGTTTGTTCACTCTCCAGATAAATAAACACTAGCCAGATTTCAAAATTACCTTATAGCCAAGGTTATAGCCACATCTACTGTATCACTTAGAGTTTTAACAGAGAAAGCTGTGTCCACTGGCTTTTGCCCCTGTGCCTGCGTTTTTCAGAAAAGAAGCTGTCCTTTCTTTCCATCTGGTACCATAGTGTGAAAGCTGGGAACAATGGCTGTAGAACATGCTATGGACGCATATTTATAGTCTGTTATGTAGAACAAATGTAATATATTAAAACTTTATATTATATATAATGAACTTTGTACTATTCACGTTTTGTATCAGTATTATGTAGCATGACAAAGGTTATGATGCTTTCATTTGCTAATGTTGTTTTATTAAAAACATGGAGAAGCTCGAAGGAATCCTTTCCCAGGGGATATGCAGCTATGCCTGTCATTTCTCTCTCCTCGAACAGAGTGGGGGGGGCAGCAGATAAAATGTGAGTGTGTTCTCTATTCTTATAAAATTGACTATTTTCATCAAATGTTTATAATGCTTTATAAACCAATAAATGTATTCCGAGTAAAAAGATCCGGTGGCATCATATTATCACAGCTATTCCGTGGCCTTTTCTCTCTTCATCTTCATTACAATCATAATCCATACAGAAACATGTCCTTGCCACATCCTGGGCACTGGTGACATTGTTAACACATGGACTGAGACAAGCAGTTCTTCGGCTTCCGGGTGAACCTCGGAACTCAGGGGTGAGAGATCCCGAGACCGAGCTGGAGGCAGCAAGCAGATGCTTGGCTGGTTGTAAGGTGAAAGTGTAAGATCCATTGCTAACATTATTGAATGACTGCTTTTGCCTGAATTCAGAGAGCAAAGCAAATCCCCGGCCCCAGAGCTACCTTCAGTAACCCTGAATGCTGTTGTTTGCTTGTGTTTTGTGGTAACAGGGTCTGTTAGCCCAGGCTAGCCTCCAGCTAACTATGCAGCCAAGGATGGTTTAGAACTTATGATTCTACCCCCCTCCACTTCCACAGAGCTGGGATTCCAGGCATGCACCACCATATCTAGATTTTATCAATGTGTTTTTGCAAACAGAAGGTTTTGAAATATTTATCTAATCAAACATGGTTATCTTTTTTTTTAGATGGCTTTTGGGTTTTTTTTTTTGTTTGTTTGTTTGTTTTATCTTAAGCACTCTTCCTTAAATCTAAAGTGACACCAAAATTCATGGTTTTTTTTTTCCTCATTAATTACATTTTTATTTACCAGAGGCTTCTTTTCATACCTGGAATGAAGCGAGGTCTAAGTTTGGCGTTTTTTACAAGCAGATTGTCAAACATAGCGGTGTGCTTTATGAAGTATAACCCTCACCTCCTGAAGCTGGAGGAATGTCTTGATTGCATGGCTCTTCAGCCCCTACCATCTTCTCCCCAGGTTTTGGATGAAGGAAGCGCCTGTGCACGTGTGTGCTCCTGCCAGCCAGGGGCATGGGCTGGGATCGGTGCACCAGGGCCCTGTGGGGAGTTCCTCTCCCTCCCCATAATCTAGCCTCTTCCAGTAAAGGAATGGAAAGAGAACCTAGACTAGCCAGGGCCGAGAGACCGCAGAGAAAACCAGAGCTTTCTTCCCTGTGGAGGGGAAAAGGTTTCATTTCACACAGGTGGCTCCTGGCACGGTGTCTGATGTCAGGAGTTTGGATTCCAGTGGAACTCCACACTCTGTGGAGAGCGCTCCCCCCGCCCCCCGCCCTGCGCAGGATGATTAGAGGCAGGCAGAGCTGTGGCCTCTGCTTCCTCGTGTTCTGTCTCAGCTGCTCTCTCTCCTCTCCTGTCCTGCTATTAAAGAAATCGCAGTCATGTTTTAGAGTGTTTCTCGCGTGGTCTTAGGTTCCAGACTTTAATTGGAGACATTTGGTATGTTGAAATGAGACTCTGCCCATACCTCCAGGGGCTTCTGCCCTCCTTCCTTCATGTCCTCACAAGGTCCCCTGTGTGCTCACCTTCCGTTCCTCTGCCCGCCAGCCCCCTTCTTGCCTGTACTCCTCCTGCAGCTAAGTACTTGACAACATCACAGGAGAAGAGAGAGAGTGGGAGGTTCATTTCTGATCCCTGTCTGGGCTTCCCCACCAACACACATTATTTTGCCCTTTGTAATGAAAAGAGAAAGATCAGAGCCATAGCTGACTACCTCTAAGCAGCTAACTTAGCCCAACTTTCCCATCTCTTAGCATCTCCCTTTCTGCCTCCAAGTCAGACACATATCCTCTGGTGGTAAAATGTTGGCAAACTCAGAACATCTTTGGGAAAAAAAGGCACTTCCCTTCCAGAGCTGTCCACACTCAGGAGTGATGGGCATGTCTGCCTTCTTGGATGGGCACTGAGCTCAGCTCAAAAGGGCTTGGAGTCTGCTTTTATAAAATCATGCTTTTAGCCTGGAGGGACACCTACCTGGTGGCTGAGAGGACTGCCGATCTCCCAAATGACCCAACATCTAAGGACACAGCATCCGTGTCTGATAACTTCAGCTCCCAGATAGACACGTGATGGCTTCTGGCCTCTGAGGACACCTGAACACACACAGCATATACCTATGCCTACACACACACACACACACACACACACACACACATACACACATACATACACACACACACAAATACATGCATACACACATATACACACAAACACCCACATACACATATACACACAAACACACATATAAACACATACACACAAACACACACACATACACACAAATACACACATACACATAGACACACAAACACATATACACACATAAACACATATACACACATAAACACACACACAAACACACACACATACACACTAAAATTGCACTTTTAAATGAATCTCTTCCTTGTAAAGGAGGTGTGTGTGTGTATTTGTAGAGCAACTTGAAGTCTTATTCTGGAAAAAGTTGGAGAATATTCTAATATGGCAAAGAAATTAACAAGGTGAAATAAAATTGTTTACTTGTTTTTGGAAGTGGTAGAATCCGGGAGGACCAGCAAGGGCTTTTTCCCAACCAAGTCATCCTGAGGTTCTGGAGCTGACGTGGTAGACACATAATTACCAGCCAGGGAGAAGCCTAACTTAGAGATAAGGGCATGGAGTTTGGAGAAAGTGTTCACGCCAGAACTACTGATAACACAAAGGTTGCAGTAAACTGCCAGCAACACCAAGTAAATACCCTTAGAAGACGCTGAGTGACAGCTGAGGTCCCTCTCTGTGGGATGGAACCTTGAACGTCTTTGCGCCCCAAAGCATCAACCTCGGCAGTGTCACTGGGTTTTGTTATTGAAGTTTAAACATAAAGGGATACAGAGACAATGTGTCTCTTAATGTTTAATTCCAACTTACTTCTTTTATAAAAAGTACTTTATAGCACCAGATGCGTGAACTTGATGATGACAGTGTCCTCTTAGATGTTATTTGTGTGATTGTTCAAAATCTAGACACTCTGGCACTCTGGCAAAAAAAAAAAGAAAAAAAGAAAAGAAAAAAGGTAGACAACAAGAAAACTAGCCTCTTCTCTAGGTTTGCTCCAATTTTATTGTCTTTTCCTTTTTTCTAGTAGATGATACGTTAGAGGACCTCCCTTCTGTCTTCTGTTCCTACTGCTGAATTCCACAGACAACACGGTTTACAAGAGGCATTTACTCTGTTCATGATGCAGGGGCTGGAAAGCCTAGCAGCAAAGCGCTGCCTTCTGGTGACGGCCTTGTTGCCGCACGCTAAGGTCATGGAGGGGGAAAGTTCCCAGGCAGGGGAAAGCAAATATGCTGGCCCACACCTTTCTCCCACCTCCTGCTAATCCAGGAACGCCACCTGGTAGCCCAAATCTCAGGATTCCACCTAATTCCAATTGCCTCTGAATGTCTCACCTCCAATTTTCACCACCCCACGTGACTTTGGGGATTGAGTGTTATTTATTCATTGTTTTTAACACATGAGCTTAAAGAGACCGTACTAACCATAGTAGGGAAATGAATGAATCCAGGAAGGTGGGCAGCATTTGTCTGTTGGAGATTTCCTTGCCGTGTGGAGTTTGGTGGCCCACGCCTTAAATCCCAGCACTCAGGATGCAGAGGCGGTGGATCTCTATGAGTTCAAGGACAGCCTGATCTATGTAGCCAGTTCCAGGTCAGCCAAGGTTAAGTGAGACCCTGCTCAAAGAATCCAAAGACAAACAGACAACAGCAATGTTGAATCTGGGGCTGTGTGTAGCTCATAGAACATGAAACAGACTCAGAGCTCGGGAGTCCTCTGAACCGACAGGGGCAGCAGAAGTGTAACAGGATCCTGGTGCTGTGTGGGAGCTCTCTCTAAGCCGAAATCTCTTATCCTGATAAAGGGGATTGAAGGCATTCCACACTGCATGGGGAAAATATAACTGAGAATGAAAACCCAAGTACAAGCCTAGATCAAAGGGAAGCCGAGACAAGGCTAGATAGAGGAGAAGCAGTAAGAACCCACAGTATTTCCCAGGTTAACAAGGATACTGTCAATAGTATCCTGGAGCATCTTTTGATGAAAAAGAAGGTTCCTTAATGAAATAAAAAGGCTCCAAACTCAGCCCTTAACATTAAACTTTAAATGAGTGATCTTTTGTTGGCTTGCTTATATTTAACTCTATCTATGCAATGCTTACAGCATACTGGATAGTCTTTGCAAATGTTTGTAATCTCATTAAAGTAACAGCTCCTTGTATCGGTTAATTTACACGCTGCTGTGACAAAATACCTGGGAAGAAGAAAGTTGAGGGGGGAAGTGGGATTTGGTTCGGGGTTTGATGATACAGCCCTCAGGAAGGGGAGCGTGAAGCAGCTGGTCACATTGGCTCTGCAGCCGGGAAGCAGAGAAGGATGAACACTGGTGCTCAGCTCACTTTCTCCTTCTCATCCAGTCTGGGACCTCCTGGATGGTGCTGCTCACATTCAAGATGGGCCCTTCTCTAGGAAGACCTTTCCCAGAGGTTGGTCTCCTGGGTGATTCTAAAATCCACCAGTGAGAAGACTAGCCATCACGGTTCCCTAACATCACAGTGTAGATCAGGAGGATAAGCTGGGGCAGGATACACAGAGGACTCATGAAAGGTTTCCACAGAGTTTACCAAGGAACAACTGTGCAAGCAGATAGTCTGCAGGAGGGGAGGGGCATGGTTTTTCGTAAGATGCATGAGTTAGGGCTTACGAACAACATTACAGAAAACTCCGGTTTAATTCAAGAACTCTGTGTAGCTTGTGTGTCATTGTCGGCTCAACCATTCTCCGTTCTCATTTTAAACTGAGCTCAAGAGTTTCTTAAGGGCTGTAATTTAGTTACTGCAGCTGCCCTGAGTTGATTTTAGAGTCAGGAAACAAAGGTAAGAAATTTCTCACTGAAGGCTGAGAAAACTGGGTTTCCTCTTGCCTGGTTCACCTTCTGCTACAAATTTGCATTACGCTTGTAAAGCAAGATGACCCTGTAAGAATTCCATGTTGGCAGAGTAGCAACCCAGTAGGAGTTGTTGATATTAGGATAAGGCAGCACTGCCCTTTTACACTGTCTGTATTC